ACTCATGAAAAATCTTCTATCTTCCTCTTCCCAGTTCCAGTTTGGCCATCTGTTGTTTAGGACGTTGTGCCTGTTTGTAAGAGTTAATTGAATTTTGTTGTACCATGATGGTATTGGTCCTTTACTGATTTTAGACAAGATTTGAATGATTTTCCAGGGTAGTATTGTTTTTGTGTCTTTATTGATTAGTTGGTCTACAAATATTATGTTGTGTTTCCTTAGAGATGGAATTGCTTTCTGATATGCTTCTGTGTCATTGAGCTTGTTTTTGATAGATAGCAAGCCTCCTTTCCATTCAAAATAATTTGACCATCGGAAATTGAATATTGTGATTTCCAAGTTGGTTTGCTGATCTCAATACTTGGGCTGAGAAGTTCTTTGAACATCTAAAGGATTGGGATATCATTGGTTAGGATATTGCTTGGTTCCCAGTTTTGAATTTGGACTTGTTTAAAACAAATTAGTGTGGATATGCTAGCTGGACCCATGTCACATAATCTATTTATAAAATTGGAGATCTGGTTTTCTGCTTGAATTTTCTCGATATTTTTGATATTGTATATCTTTTTGTGATGAATAGCTGAGTTTGGAATTGGTGAAACTAGTCCTACTATTTTCTTCAAAACCTTTCTTAATTGAGCTGTTAGATTGTTACATGTGTTTTGGTCTAGGAAGCAATGTTGCATTTGATATTCAATACGAGGGATGAGAACTCTGTTTAGAATATATTCTGCATGTTTGTTTGTTATTCTTTTTTTCCTGAAGGCTTGATACAACAGTTGTGATTTCTTGTTTAATTCGAAGAGTTGTATCCCTGGTCTGTTTTTTACTTCCTATCCATATTCCTAAGAATCTAGTAAAACTGTTGCAATCATTCTCAATTACTTCTTGCTGGTTTACTTCAATCTTTACTGAGTTTGATCCTTTGTTATGACTACTTATTGTTATCAATATGGACTTGTTACCATTGATCTGGAAGTTGTTAGCTGCATAAAACCACTTGACTCTTTCAAGGATATTTCCTATATTTTCTTCTGATCTGGCGATCCATGTTGTATTATCCATATATGTTATTGCAGCTTGTCGGATGTTTAGTCGTGTGGTTTTGTTTTTATTGTGATTAATTTCCCATTCACAATTCATGGAATATCCCAGTTTTGTATCATTCTGGATTTTATATAGCAAGGGGTCATAAAAGATGCACTATAGAAGAGGAGAGATCGTTTCCCCTTGGTCTATTTCATCTCCTGCCATTACTTTCTTTGTTATTCCTACATCAATAATTACTTGTAGAGATCTGCTGATGAAAGGGTCTAATATGAGTGTTCTGAGATTCTCTGGAATTTTGATTTTTTGGAGTGCTTTTTGTAATATCTCCAAACTGATCGTGTCATATGCCTTGGCAGTATCTTGGAATAGGATCCACAGTTCTTTTTTCTTTTCTCTGGCCTCTTTGCAGATATTGTTTAGCAAGTGGATAGGTTCTGAAGTGCTTTCCTTTGATAGTCCTGCGAAGTTGGGGCTCTTTAGAATATTGTGCTGTTTGTATATGATAGACAGTCGATTAGTAATGATTTTGGTAAAACACTTTTGTGAGATATTCAGGAGAACTATTGGTCTGGTGTTGCTTAGAGTGCCTTGCTATTGAGATCAGGTAGAGTAGACTTTCTTTTCATGCTGCTGAAATCATATTGTAGATTAGGTATATGTTCATTAGTTGACATAGCATCTTTTTTTCTATTGTTTTCAGGTTTTTGAGCATTTCATATTTGATCTTATTGGGTCCTACTGCTTTGTCATTTGAAAGATCTTTTAGAACTTCTTCAAGCTCACTTTTTGAAATAGTGTTCGTCATTTCTTTGTACCATTTTTCTTCTATTTTAGCTTTAGGAACATATTGTTTCTTTCATTTTTTATCTAATAAGTTAAAGTTGTTATTTCTTTTCTTGAAAGCTTTTTTGTAGTACTCTTTAGTTTGGTGCAGAATTTCCTCTTTGTTTACTGATATGTATATACTCTCTTTCCAATTTCATCTTGAATACGGATTCTGTCTATAGTAATCTTGTCTCAGAAGTTATTTGTCAGGTCCTGTACTATCTTTCTTTGATTCTCTCTGAGATTCTTGTATCTCTGTTGGATTACTCGTTTGATTTCCATATTGGTTCAGTTTCTTTCTTTATTGAGACATATTTTCCTGAGGGAACTGACTGTCTCTTTAAGCTGTTGTACCAATATATCATCTTTTCTTCTTCTTTGAGAATGCTTAAGAGTGCTTGAGTTGATTCGAGTGCTGGTGCTATGGATGCTATATCTTGATTGATTCTTTTGCATTCATTTTATAGTTTTTGTCTCTGGGCTGGTCCTTCTAGAGGATCTAGTAAGCTAGACCAATTGTTAAGAATCTTGGTGATTAAATGGTAACTGTGAAGCGCAAGTTGTTCTCTTTGACTTTTCTTATGAAAATTTATCTTGATCTTTTCTCTTGTTGTTCTTTTTTCACAATATAAGTAGTTGAAAGCTGAGATTATTAAAATCTTTTCAAATGCCTTTCATGTGTCTTGGATTAGTTGCTTGCACTTGTTGATATTGGTATGGTTGGAATGTATTGTTTGGATTAGAGTTGGAATGTTACTTTGTTGTAATTTTATATTAATCTTGTGTCCGTATTTCTTCCATTATGATTCTATTGTTTTGGAGATGTTGATTACTTTTTCCTTATCTGATAGTTTTTGAACATGATGTCTTGTGTGATTTGAACTGATAGTATAGTATAATTACTGTTAGAAATTGTGCAGAAGTCCTTATTATTAAATTGGAGTATGTTGTTTGCTATGCCATAGGATTCCCAGATATAGTCAATTCTACTGAAGCTTATATTGTTTTTTCATGTGTGGATCATCTCTATTGGTTTCTATAGTTGATGGAAATCAGAGAGATTCCAACTATTCATGACATTAAATAGTTCGATTGTGGGGTCTTCTGGCTTGGAGAATTCTCATGTGTTACTTGTTGTTCTATGGTCTATTCTTGGATTGAGTGTTATATTGAAGTCACCCATTATTATAATCTCATAGTTTTTCCATGAATAGGTCTGTAATAGGTTTAAGATCTTTTTCTGTAGTTCACGACTTTTCTTTTTGTCACTGGGCAAATATATATGTTGCTGAAATTCATAGATCCTTGATGCAATTGATGCAATTATTTGACACAATTAATTGAGTCACTATTAAAACATATAAATAATTAAGTCATGGCACAATTATTTTTGGGGATTTTGGGAATTGAGTCAACAGAAAATAATTTATGCCACATGTATAGTTCAATGTATATTAAAAATAATTTTGTTTGTCAAACTTTTAACATAATAAAATATTATATTGTATATTACTTGAGACAATAATAATGAATTTTTAATATTAAACTGTTATACATTATACAAAACAGACACAAACATCCTTTTTTAAGAAAGTCACACATTTGAAAACAACTATTTTAAGATCACCTTATAAGCAATCGGTTCTAAATGCTCATTGTGATTACACTATTTATAAATCAAGTCACATGACATTAACCACGAAAAATTTGAATAGCGAAACAATAGATGGGTCAGTATGGTCTAAAGCGCCTATTAGCCTTAAGCTTTGCAATTTTTTGTTTATCTTCTTCAAACTTTTTGCGCAAATCAACAAGCCCTAGAAAAAGAAGAGAATATTTAAAAGATATGCAAAACATCAAGTCATTAAAAATCAAATCATTTTTTTATTATAGTTACTGTTTCTCTTGGTCTCACGCGTTTGAAAACGATAAAAGTCGACTAGTTCTTTATTTTTTGGTTTTAAGCCCTTAACCTCTTCCGGCTTGGCTGCTGTGACAGTGATTGTACCATCAGTATTAACATTCCTTCTTCCAGTTCTGGTGACTGTTATGAATCCCTCTTCATCTGGTTGGTTATGTTTAGCTTCCAGTTCTTGACGTCTTTTTTGTTCAGCTTCCTCAAATTTGCGCATATATTCGTCAACTTCTCTTTGGAGATCATTAGGATCACGTCGGAGGGCTTTATACTCTTCAATCCATTCTATAATTAAGGATTTTAGACAAGTTTAACGCAAAAGGAGAACAATTTGAAAAAGTTTGAAAGTTTACTATCAAGGCCCAAAGAGAGAACTGAGTGTTTGGCATTCCAAAGTCTCATTTTTTGTCTCATATTAAGTGCATTGTTTAATCCTTCCGAACTCTCAAATATCACGTAGGCCGAAGAGCCTGGAATAAGAAACGTTCTTAACCCAAAAACCTCACGTATAAGAAGCTTGTTTTTTTCGGCAGTTCCAATTCTTGGCCTTAGGTTTCTCCTCTTCCTTAATTTCTTTCCCTTGTTCTCCGACGAAATTATTCCAGGATCCTTCTTGTCAAAGTCATTATTTTCATCAATCAAAAATTCTTCTCTATCAGGAACCCCGTGAAATATTACGCCTTCAATCTCTCCAAATTCCTCAAATATAATTCTAACGTGTTCCTCAGTTGCATCCGTAGGCAGATTCGAGATAAATAAAGTTCTCTCGGGCGGAACCTTTGTAGGTGAATCTTTACTTCCGCGTGATTCGTGGCGTTTGAAAAATAAATAATGAAAGATTGACTTCAGGTTTCCGGTAATAAAAGGTGAATCTACTTTAATTTCAAGAATTTTAAACCCTGTTTTGGAAAGTTCTTCTAGAGGTAATTTTTCACCCATGTCAAGAGAGTTTTTTTGGTTTTTACACGTATCAGTAACGTGTAAGTTAATTTATGTTAGTACGCAGATATGCTGTGTAACGCGTGGTTTTTAATACATTAATGTAATTAAAATAAGCGAAATAAACAATGCTCGAACACTTATGAAATAATGCAATTTAGTTTTAACTTTGGAAAAAGTATCTTTATTATTTTATCTCGATAATTTATACTCGATATATTAAAGAACAAAAGTCGCTTTACAATCGAAGCTTTCCGAGCGTCTGAGAAGCATGACGGATCGTACCAATTTGAGCTCCAGCTCTGATGACGCGTTGCTAGCTCTGGACGAACGAGCTTCGTTACTCTTGTCTGCTCGACGCACAGAACAAAAAAAAAATTTTAACGTATCAAACTTGAAAGAATCAATAAATTACGAAACGCACGAAGTTGGGCAAGAAACAGACAACACTAATTACTCAGAGGGTGAAGATTTATCCAACCGTTCGACAGAGAACGAACTTAAAAGTGATAACGATTTTGACCCGATCGACTCTTCTCCAATGTATCAAGTCGATAAGCATGTCATCAACGAAGAGTATGATTTTCGAGAATATTATGAAGGGCAGATCGACGATCTTGAAGAGGAAGTAGAAGAAGAGGAAGAAAGGGAAGGAAATGAGTATGATCAAGAGATTCACGAAGAGATTTACACAGACGAAGATAGCAAAAATTTGATTGATCAGAATGGTATAAATGATAAATTGCGGAATCAAGGTCAAAATGCATACAAGAAAATTCGATCTTTGGAAAATCAGATCTCGTTATTTAAGAAAAAAAAAGAGGAACTAGATGAACGTATTGAAGAACTCGAAGTAGAAAAAGAAATGGAACATGAGGAAAAACTTGCTTTAGAGGATGAAAGAAATAATTTAGAACGACAGAAGGATGTTGCTTTGGAGAAGTTACGTTTAATGTCGATTGACTACATAAACATCGAAAATAAGCTGGAAGAAAAAAACAAAAAAGAATTGGAACTAAAAAGTAAGGTCAAAATTTCGAATGAAAGAATTCAAGAATTTAAAGAAGATCATGCTATTCTGCTTGAAGAACGTAACATTTTTGAAGAGCAAAATATAGATTTGTTGAAGAATGTGCAGGAACTTAACAAAAAAATAGTTGAATTAGTTGAACAAAAAACGAAATTATCGAGTACATTGGAACATTTACAAAAAGATCATGAGAGATTGGAAACCGAGCATGCAAAAATGAAAGAGGACGATACTGAAAAAATAAACAGTTTATCGGAGGAAGTGGGGACGCTCGAGGAACAACTTGCTCGTATCATGGGTGGTGACGAGCGGCTTGAAGAGTATGAAAGAGAGAATGAGAGATATGAACTGCGTCTCAAACAATTGGGGGAAACAAATAGAAATTTAGAAAAACAAAACCGATTTTTGGAGAATCAAAGAAGTGAACTACAATCCCGCCGAGATCATTTGACCATAGAAAGGGAAAGACTTCTTTTACAAGTGGAGGGTTTGTCAACCAGTCTGGAAATAATCAATAAAAATATGAATTCAGCACAAGAACGCCATGAAGCGAAGAATGCAGAATTTTCCGAACAACAATTAAGACACACCGAGGAAACCAAAAAAGCCATACATTTAAATGAATCCTTAAGACAAGAACTAGAAAAAACTCTCGAAGAGAAAAAAATGCTAGAAAACCAAATTGGCATGGCCGAAGTTGAAACTTCCAACTTGTTAAGAAAGGTCGAAGATTTGGAAAATTTGAAGTCTAACATTAATAATAACTTGGGAAATTTGCAGTCTGGAATTGCAGAAAAGGATATACAACATTCTACTAATAGAAGGACGGATGATGAGAATACTGCCGGAAAAGAAACTCGAGTCGATAACAACCAATTACAATCCGAAAGGGACGTGCTGAAGACGGAAAATGCCAAACTTTCAAGGGATTTACAGAAGGTTAATGATAGAAATCAACGTTTAGAGATTCAACTAAGTGAAATGGTCGACATGATGGGAAATAGATCGAACGAATTGTACGCTTACCCTTCGGAAACCCTGCGATCTTTGAATTTAGGTTCAGATGATAAAAATCTATTGGCGCATTTGGAAAATGAGGTGGTGGTCTTGCGTACACAGTGTAGTTCGTTGCAGGCCGAACTGCTTTCTAAAAACGAACAGAGTTTGCAACTGGAACAATTACGTTTGCAACTGGATACCACTAAGCGCCAGCTTTTTGAGCGTGAAAACGTGATCGTTGAGTTGAAAACGAGAATAGAATTGAACGAATTGGATATCAAATCTAAGCAACTTATGATCGAACAACTGCAACAACATAATGATCAAGCTCTTAATAACTCATTACTAGATGCAGGGGACATTTCTCACAGCACCATTACTTCTGGTAGTGATTCATTCATTATTCAGTACGAACATATGATAGAAGATTTGAAGGCTAAGCTTGACGACGCATATGTTGAGAATGGAAAACTACTGCATCAACTTACCCAAGTGGCCCAAAGAGCTCAAGATGATTTTAAGGCAGCAAAAATTCAAGAGCTCCAGATTCAAAATACAGAGTTACAGCGCATTCTGAGGTTAAGGGAAGAAGAGATAATCCGGGAACAAAACAGGACCTTTGACCAACAGGCTAAATCTCAAGTTCGCGGCGAAATTGTCGAAGGAATAAGTGAATTGGTAAACAGTTCATTTAATTCTACAAATAAGGTATCTTTGAAATAAATTAATATGTTTTCCACTATATTGAACTTAAATTCCTATCCTATCTTTGATTGGATAGGTGGTGGACATTTCTCTGTCACAAGACCTTTCCTTCTTACGCAGCGATGATTCTCACTCCAATCGTCGATCGACTTTTACTCCGCATAAGAAATCTGTTCAACCTGAATTACAAGCCATAAAGGTTCAACTAGGCGATCTACATGAGCAGCTTGAGTCAAAGAATGTTGATCTCGAAAAAGCAATTCTTACTGCACAAGATCTTTCCACGAAACTTGATGATGCACAGGAAAAAATCCAATTCATGGAAAACTGCATGCAAAATACTGATAAATCAATTTCTCTTTTGCGAGACGAGTTGTTCCGAAAAAAACAAGTTATAAATGAAATGGAGTCAAGATTGAAAAATGTAATTTGTTCGCGATGTGGAGGCTCAATGGAAATACCTACTAATGCAGTTTCAAACCGTAGTAAGATGTACGTGTAGTAGCGTCTGTGTCTTTTATGATATGTTGGCATAATATTCATATAAATGAATTAATTTTGTTTTTTTTTTGGATGTGATTGTGTAATAGGATAGAAAAGGATATTGAAGTTACTCTGAAGAAGAACCTGCAGACCGTGGAATATATTGATGAACTCGTGAAAGTTGTTTCGCGACAAAATAATTTCGCTAACCTTAATCAATCAAATTTTTCACAATCTATGCAGAGCATTCAACAAATGATTGAAGGCTTATATAAACAAGCTGCCAATATGCAGAAAATTATGGAAGAAAATGCAGAAGTGTTGAAACGCCTGGCGGAATCAGCATTTACGGAATCTCCCAAGAAGCCACGTAGACAAACTCCAAACTCAAGTAAACTCATTCGCTCTCCAAAAATGGTTGATGACACGTTGGAAATAAAGCGTGAAGATTTGAAAGCGATAGTGGTTGCAGGAGGAAATATGATGAATACCCCGTCGAAGCTTGTTTCCCAAATCGACAGTTTTGCTACCGCTGTGTTGGAACAAGAATTTAACATGTCGGGGATCGAAGATCGCGTCCAGCTATTTAGTGAATTATTTGAAAATTACGTGAAGAAATTTGAAACATTCGAGATTTTACAAAATCGAATTATGCAAGGTTTCAATTTTACTTTAAACATTTGTTTATTAACAAGCTTATTAAATCTTTATACAAGATATGATATAAATTTTAATCGTTCGTCATTCATTGGTAATATTTAGATCTAAATAATCATCGAAAGATTTCAGACACAGATTCGAAAAATAATGGCAGCATTAACATTTTGATAACAAGCGTCCATGAATTATCAGCAGACAATATTCAATTGTCTGCACAGATAAAAAAATTGCTAATATTAATGAAATCGAATATTCTTCCGGAAAACAATTTTGCCAAAACTTTGGTTCACCAAGAGACTCGTGAAGAAGTCGAGAAATTGAGTAAAATAATCATGGTTCAAGATCAGATTATGGAAGATTACGAAGAGAAGCTTGAACTTCTTAAACACAAAGAAGAGGAACAGATACAAAAAGAAATGCCTAATTTATCTATTTCTAAGAACAGTGACATCTCGGATCAGAATGACCAATGCGATTTGCAACTACAAATCCAAGAACTTCTTAATGCGTGGCAGCTGGAAGTAAATGCTAATGCATCCCTTCGTGCGGTCATCAAAGAGATGAAAACAAGATCGGAAAGTAAAGAAACGGAATTGAATAATAAAATAGAAAACCTGATTGTTCAACTTAATAACATATCTGAGCAACTTCAAGTATTCAAGATACGAGCGAAAAATTTTGAGTCCAAGTTTCAGCAAGCAGACGAATCCCTTAAGAAAAAAATTGAGAACGAGGAAATTCTACGGAAAGAGTGGAACGAAATGGTCGAAGGTCACGCCAGGGATTTAGAGGCATTGAGACACCGCTGGAACAAGGAACGTGCTTTGCTGAAAGAATCCAGTACTAAAACAAAAACTCAACAATTAGCTGAATTAGAGGCAAATCACAAAGAACTCGAAGATTCATGGAAACAGGAAAAAGAAATATTGAATAAAAAATTGCGAACACAAAAAGAGGCTTCTGAGCGAGAAATCAAAACACTACAAAAGGTGAATACATCTTCTATAGGTACACCTGACAAATTTTCTATTACCAATCATAATTCATGCTCAGCTTGTTTCATTGTTTTATTAGGAAATAGAAAAGTTGGGTTCGACGATTAGAGAGTTAAAAGAAGAATTGTCATCTGTTATGGCAAATAAAAAGACCTTAACATTGGAAAAGGCTCTTTTGACAAAAGAAAAATCGGAATTACAACAACAGTTAGATAACCTGCAAAAAGTAAGAAAGCAAAAATAGCATGGTAGAGAAAATAATCATCTTCAAACGTTCACTCATTCACCAAACTTGAAATAGGAATCAACCCGTTACCGCAGCAAGAATGCATCAGTCACAGAACTCGAGGGTCGAATAAGACGGTTACAGAAAGGTCAGTCACAAACCAAGTTATTGATTAAAATGTTGATTGACATTTCTTAATTGTAAGATGTTTTAACAGAAAAGGATGTCACCTCGGAAAAAGCATCCCAAAAAATAAAAGATCTTCAAAGTGAACTTCAAATAGAAAGGGAGAAGACATCCAAGTTGAATAAAGAAAAAAATTCAGCAATAAAAGAAAAATCTGAGTTGCAACGGAAGTACATGATTTCTAACGAGGTATTCATTTTAATTGAGTCTGCTCGCTTGTTTTTAATAAAATTCATAACATGAAAATCTTGCGAATAGATGAAAGAGTCTCTTGAAACCGATATACGTGACGAAAAAGAACATGTCAAAGCACTTGAAGTGGAAATCCAGAATATCACAGATCAATTACAAACTGAACGTCGTGACCACCAGTTCAAGAGCGAACAACTATCAAGATATGAAGACGAATTGCAAGCTGTACAAGAACAATGTAATCTGTTGCGGGAAAAAATGGAAGAACTACAAGACACTTTAAGCCACGAACGTAATCAATTTAAGATTCAGCTGCAACACGTTGAAACAGCAAATAAACGTCGCACTGGAGTAAGTATACTACCTAATTTATTTTTTAATCGCTTTCATTTATTTATTTACACTTGAAAATTTTCTTTGGAATTCAGCCTGTTGACGATGAAGAAGTCAATATGATCTTGGATAAAAATTCGAGATTGCAACACGATCTAATCGCAACGAACAACAAACTCCAGGAGTTGAAGGAATCTGCACAAAATGAAATCAACGCTCTCCAAGAAGAATTCCAAGCAACCAAACGACAACTGGAATTAATAGAAGAATCGCAGGCGGTTAACTCCAATTCCGATGATGTCAAAAGGTCTATTACTTTTAGATGACAAGCCAATAATCTTAATGATTTCGTTTTTTTGTTAACGCCCTTTTATATAATTCAGCAGAGAAAGAATCCATGAGGAATATCAGCGAAAATTTGAAGAACAAGTGATTGTCATAGTTGTTTTTTTTTTTAAAAAAAAAATTTCATTATTTAATCGACTCTTTTCCAGGATGCGAAGTTTAAGCATAAGTATCAATCCGAGTTAAGAAACGAGCGAAAAAGATATATCGAAGAATGTGATCTTTTAGTCAAAGAAGTTCGATATCTCAGAGCAAGATGTATGCGAGAATCAGGATTCCGTGCCGACTTGAGTTATCAAAAAAAGTTTATGATGTTACTGCTGGGTGGTGTTGAATCATGGTCTGTTTTAAAATTCTTTTGCTTTTGCCAATTCCAAGTTCACGATCTCGAGCATCTTTCTATTCTAAATCCCTAGTGAACAAACGACATTGCTTTTGATATCTGACATACAAAATTCAAACCGTCGCGTATCCCACATGCGACCTTCGCCGCTATTGATTAAATTTCGTGGTGCCGTGACAGCCATACTTGCAATTCAAAGGATGAGGTATTTACATATACTTCTTTGTGTTCATTTTCATCAGTTAATAAACTTTCGATTCTCTTTGTAGGATTCTTAAAAACTCTTGGTTAAGATGTAGAGAACTAAAACGAACAATACAACAACAGCGACATTAGATTCTATATTATTATTACGCATTTTTTTCAATTTTTCAATATCACTTTGTAACATAACTCGACAAAATTATCGACAATTAGAACAATTTGTATTTATATCATTAATACTAGAGTTTCGACTTTTCATTTAAATATCGATACGTAATTCAACGTTTATTTTACACAATTTAGTATGACATTATACTATCAAATGCCCCAACCCTTAGTCTTACTTCAGGTCGATCTTTTAGGGCTGCTAGCAACCCTTCAACTGTCACATCGAAATGACCCAAATGATGAAATGACAGTCTACTTGTAAAAGGATTATTGATGCTAAAATCCTCTAATTTTTGGAGTTTTTGAATAATATTAAAAATCGATGCGTCATTTATAAGCGATGAGTCGCCAGTTGTCTCCAGTTCTAGTTCGACAAGGTTAGGACAACTCTCTAGTAGTCGCAACAGTCCGGCAGAAGTTAATATGTTACCAGAAGAGAACTCGTATAATTGTATGAAGGTAAGTGATTTTAATTTAGGAAGTAATAAAGCCTTAGGATCTGTATTTTTTAACAAAGGTTTGTCATCCAAGTCGCAATTCTTTAATGTTAAAAATTGTAATGTTTGGCTACATCGGCCTTGGAGAATCGACTTAAAATGGTACATAGTTGGTCAGTTCCTGAAAGATAATAAAACGTCAAAGTTTAATACATACAATTATCACGGAGCTTGTTACTTGCCGACACCATATTGTTAGATCGGTGAGAGCACATCCTTCTGTGATATGCCCAATCCCATAACCGTGAAAATATCTCGATTCCTTGTTGGATGCAAAATATCGAAAGAATTACAATTATTTGACTTTAAGCAAAAAGAATTATATAGATGTGATTCTCGGTTTACTAACAAGCACTACTTTTTTTAAATTGGTGCAATATTCACCAACTGAGAACGACAAAGCGTCGCTACAAAATGGTGAAGATCCATGCAGTGAGACTTGTTCCAAACTATGTCCCATTTTTGCGAAAAAATCAGTTCGTAACGAAACTTCGTGGCAATCACGAATATCAAGGTCAAGGGTGAACGTCAATAGATTCCAAGAAGCGTCTATGCTAATGAGGTTATATAATAATGTTTTTAGTTCAGGTGACCGAGTCTTGGAAGGAGTTCTACGCGTCCTAGCAGTAATATGTAGGTTTCTAATGTAATTCGCATAAGGAAAATTTTGGTTTTGCGAAGCAAGCACTTCAACGAGTCTTTGCAACTGTTCAAAATACAAAATCTGTACATCTTGCCAAAAGAAGGGTGCCGCATTTCTAAAAAACTGAGTTGACAAGCAAGCACTGTTGAAGCTGTTCTGCAGCTTCCAAATGAAGGATCCGAAAAACCTCGTACCAAATATTGTCGTTAAGTTGAACTGCACCCATCAAATTTTTTTGCATGTTACGTTACATGCACCGTTTATATTTATAATAATATAAAATATCAATATTAAACAAATTGTATTGAATAATTATTTTTTTACAATTACAAATATAAACTTGTATTTCAAAATAGTAAAACTTGATTAAAAAAAAAAATAAAAACAATTTTAAGATTCAAATTATTGAAACAATCTATTATTACTATTTATAATTAAATAAATTCTTTGACTTTTATCTTATTATGATGTAAAAATATTTAAAAAATTATAAAAAAAAATTAATAAAAAAAATAAAAATAAAACAAACAAAAATTTGTTATATTTTTATTTCTATAAACTTTATTATTAAATTTATTTGTTTTAAAAAATAATTAAATAATTAAATAATAAATAATTTTTTTTAAAAAATAATAATAAATATATTTGTTTTATAAAAAACAACTTTTTTTACTAATTCATTTATCAATTCAAAAGACAGATATTCTTGAAAAAAATTTTTTTATTTTTCAAAAATAAAATCTAAATATATTTTTTAATATATATTTTTAAAAACAAAAGTTTCTTTTATTTATTTATCTTTTTTTTTTCAAAAACTTACTTATTTGATTTATAATAAAAAAATTTTATTGAAAAAAAATATATATAGAAAAATATTTTTCTTTATTTTTTTTATAAAATTTAAAATTTTAGAAAAGTCTATTAGTAAATATATTTTAAGTTCCATAAGAATCTTGGATCTATTATAAGTAAATATTTTTATTAAAGATAAATAAATAAACTAATGTTCTAATCCATAAATGTGAACATATAATTTTTTTTATTAATCAAATATTTATAAATTAAGATCTTTTAAAATAACTTATATTAAAGTAAAATAATTATTATTGATATATTTATTCTTAAAACTTTGACTATTTATTAATTTAATATTTGGGTAATTATTTTTGAAGGTGAATCGGAAATTTCTGGTGTAATCCTAAAATTTATATTATATATGTATTGTTTAAAAGCTGGATCTGAAAAAATCATATCTAATATTTTTGTAGTCTTCAAAAATAATTACCCATTTAATATAGTTATAGTAACAAGATATAGTTATTTTAAAAATATATTAGTAACAATATTGATTTTTTATTTAACTTTAAAGTTATTGGCTTAAAAGGTTTATAACTATTTTACTTATTGTTTTGAAAGATTAACTTGGATTTTGATATATTCTAAAGAAGTATAGTTAGTCACAATTGTAAATTTTTGTTTTTTTTTCAAATATACAGTGTGTAACAAAACTTTTTGAAATTTTATTTACATGACATAAATATAAATAACTTTTTCAAAACAAAAGCAATTCATGTGAAATT